TGACGTGTTAATTATGTTCCCCAAACGAAGTTGGGGAACATATTGTTTTTACTCTGTTTCTTATTATTATTATTATTATTATTATTATTTTTCTTCTTCTTCTTCTTCCTGGAACTTTTTTGTCCGGGAATGATCTTGTAAACTGTTCGTCCGATGTAGGTAAAACCTTTTTAGGGTTAGTAGACATGTTATGTAGATTTGCGGAATCAAGGTCATTTTGCGCGCACGTGCTTGCAAGAGCGTGCACATGCAACACGTGAAATGACCAATATAATAGATATAGCCACAACTGTTCTATTTTTAGATGAAATGCTTTGAAACTCATAATGTGAGGATATATTAGTAGTGTAGACATGACGACATCATGAAAATAGCAAGATCTCACGCGCATGCACGTGCACTTCGCTCTGATTGGCTGCAACTAAAGTCTCAATATCTTTCTTGTTTTTTGACGAAATCCTTTGAAATTTTGAACATAGTCATGCATTAGGATATCCTACAACATGAAATAAAGCAATTATCATGAAAACACGTGCATGCACGTGCGCTGCAATCTGATTGGCTGAAACTTTAAACAGCTATAACTCCCTTGGTTTTCAACCAAACAGGATGGGATCTGGAACATAGATAGATATAATAACTTCTACAAGTAGGTATGGTCACCATGCACATGCATACACGTGCGTGTACATGTGCTGCAATCTGATTGGCTGAAACTTAAAACAGTTATAACTTCCTTAGTTTTCACCCAAACGGGGTGGAATTTAGAATATAGATAGATGTAATGGACTTCTACATGAAGGTATGGTCACCATGCTCATGTATGCACGTGCATGCACGTGAAATGAGTAAAATCAAACATACACTTGAATGAGCATATTTTTTAAATAATTTTGGATTAAATACTTTAATATTCAGTGTATTAAAAATATAGATTGTGTAGACAAGATTATATGGTCATGACGCAAATGCATTCACATGTGCACGCGTGCAATGCTACAGTTTAAATGATCTTTGTACACTTCTTTGTAAATGTTGTTAAAATCTCAGATGCATAGAGTTTGTCTTTTTTAATGAAGCTTACAGGGAATATGGCACCAAAAGGGAGTTGGGGAGCGTTTGGGGAACATCTGTAACGGTCCCCGTTACAATTAGCACTAGTTTGTGACGTGAAGTGACGGGACACTGGTTTATGTTGATTGGTGACTTTCATATCTGCGAAATGTCCATACATCCTTTCTCTTAGGGAGTTTCCTGTTTGGCCAATGTATTGAATAGAACATTTTTTACAAGTAATTGCGTAAATGACGGAAGTACTATTGCAATCAAGATTTTGTTTTATGGAATAAATTTTGCCAGTGGAAGAAATTCGGATGTTCTTATTATTACTGACAAACGGGCAAATTTTACAATTCTCATAACATGGGTGGCTTCCGATATTCTCGGGACTGGAGTTTAACTTTGAATGAACTAAGATACTTCTTAAATTTGGAGGTCTTTTATAGGCTATGATTATTCTCTCCATTAATTCTTTTGTGTCTGGGGATTGTTCTAGGATCGTCTTGTATTTATTGATAATTGATCTAAATTCTGGATTAAGTCTGTTGAATGTTGTAACTAGTGGGATTACTCGTTTTTCGTGTGTTTTATTTTTATTCTCCGTGAGCAGATTGTTGCGGTTGAGTTTTCTGGCTTTATCTATAGCTTTTTCAAGCATTGACGATGGATAGTTTCTGGCTAAAAAATGTTCCTTCATTATTATTGCGTGTGCTTCAAAATCGTTGTCCGATGAGCATATTCGTCTGATCCTTAATGCTTGGCTGAATGGTATACTTCTCAACATGTGTTTCGGGTGGTTAGAGTTATAGTGTAAAAATAGGTGGGCATCGGTGGGTTTCGTGTATAAGGTGGTAGATCGTTCTCCTAGGTTATTAATCCGCACGGTAGTGTCAAGGAAATTGATTTCTTCTGTTGAGTGTTCATAGGTGAATTTGATTGTACGATGGAATTCGTTTAGACGGGACATGAAGGCATGCAGATCCTCGCTAGTTTCCGTCCAAATAAAGAAAATATCATCTATGTATCTCCACCAAATTAGCGGTTTCACTTCTGATTGTCGGAGAAATTCAGTTTCTAGGCGGTCCATAAATATAATCGCATAGTTTGGTGCGCATTTTGTTCCCATACTTGTTCCCTGGGTTTGTAAATAGTGGTTACCATTAAATTCGAAGCATGTTTTAGTTAAAATGAGGTGTAAGAAGCGGAGTATAATCCATGTGGGTATTGTGGGATTTTCTCTTGTTTCCAATGTTTCTTTGCATGCTAATATGCCATCGCGATGTGGGATAGATGTGTAGAGGGAAGAGACATCTGCTGTGACTAAAATGCTGTTTCTTGGAACTTTTTTTAATTTTTGGAGTTTTAATAGGAAATCGTTCGTGTCTTTTATGTATGAATTTACGTTTTGAGCGAGTGGTTTAAGGAAAAAATCGACTGTGGCTGATAATTTTTCGGTTGGTCCGCCAACTGCGGATACTATAGGTCGGCCTGGATTGCCAGCTTTGTGTATTTTTGGAAGCATATAGAAGATTGGAGTACGTATCTGGTTTATTTGAAGTTTGTTGTATCTGAATATTTCGGGTGGTAACAAATGTTTGACTCTTTGTATGAACTCATTGATGGTTTTAGTAATTTTTGGAGTGAAATCCGTTTCCAACAGTGTGTAGTTTTCTTGGTTGTTTAGTTGTCTGTGAGCTTCTGAGATATAATCTTCACGATTTAAAATGACTATTGCTCCACCTTTGTCTGCGGGTTTTATGATGATGTTTTGATTATTTTTGAGGTTAGATAAGGCTTGGAATTCTTCACTAGTGAGGTTGCGGTAGGGGATCCGGTTTTCATTCGTTTGGGTGCATTGGTGGGTGAGTATGTTGATGAATGAGTCTAAGAAAATGTTTTTTCCACTCGGAGGGGTCCATCCTGATGGAATGTGAAATGGATTAGGATTGTTGTTATCAGTTTGATTTTTAAAGTGTACATTTAATCTGAGGCGGCGGTTAAAAATAAAAATGTCTCTTAAGATCGTTGATTGGTCTGGAGATTTTGGAGTTGGGCAGAAAGATAGGCCTTTGGATAAAACTGATATCTCTTGTTGACTTAGTTGATAATTAGAAAGGTTAACGACTGCTGTTTTATTACGGTTATAATGTTTATGTAATTTCCTGTATTGTTGCCTAGGGATGAATTTTCTATTGGGCTTTTTTCTTGGCATCGGGGACTTTGGTTTCTTTTTGTGTTCTGTTGAAGTTCATTGAGGTAGGAATTGCGGCTAATAAATTGTTGATGTGTTCCATTTGTAAACAAATTTACAGAATAAAGGGCACCTGCTGATAAAATAAGTTGACATTACAGGGAGTATTCACCTCTGCCTAGCCAACTTATATCTACCAGGGTAAATCTTTGATCCAATGTCATTCATTTATAGAGGAACTTCCATACAATTTTGACAAAGGTGGAATTTATCATAACTTGAGTACTGGAACTGCTCCATCAGAGTTTTAAATCCCAAACATTAACAGCCATACTTATGCCATGAGCATAGAAGAAGCGCTCCTTAATTTGTTAATAAATAACATCAAATCAAGATATTGCTGTACACAGAGAGGGAATGTGCATTGTGTATTAATAAGTACTCACAAATGTTGTAAGCCTTTTTGGGATTTAGAATGTAAATCTCATTTCTTTTCTCTGGCACCTCTAAAACACATAAAACAATGATGTATCAGCCAATAACGTACACAGCTCAATATGGACAACTGGCAGAAACAGAAATGATGAAATGATCTAAATCATATGATACATCATGCTTATTAATGAAACTAGCCAGTGAAAGTGGTTTACACATTGTTGTATAAGCAAGGGTATTCTCCCTTGAAAATCTTTATGCCTGTACAGAAGCAAAGCAAGACACTTACTTGCTCTTTTGTTTTGGATACTGAAGTGATTTTCTAATTCCAGATATTTGATGACATCATCCAAGTCATCATTTCCTAGCTACAAAGAGGAAAACTTACAAATAATTATCATAGTTACATCAATCTTTTTCCCCCCCTTCATTAATTGATGCAGTTTGCTTTTCAACTCTCAATATCACTACATGATAAAATTCATGATAAAAATATACTAAACACAGATCCTTTTATTTTTTAAATTCAAAAAAAAAAAAGAAAATTCAACTCTTTACCCAGTAAAAATAAGCACTTCTTTTTTGAGTCAGATCTACCTGTTCCCAGATAGTATTTTCCACTTTATCGGCACCAATCTTTTCCCAGTTTATTCTCTTTACATTGACTTGATGAGATGACATGCCCACATCTGTTGCTAGAGAAGGGGGCGGGGGTGGAGGTGGGGGAGGGGGAGCTATAAAATAATTTTATCAGTCACATCATTTCCTTTTTTTCAAATATGAACATAAAACCATGGATACTCCACTAAACATGTAAAAAGAAAAATTGTAGAAAATTCAGCCAACAAGAATTTCAAGAATAAGTATTTTCACTAATTCTATAGAGTATCAGACCTGGAGGTGGAGGTACTGCCATTTGGTCTGTATCTGGATCTGTGTCCTCATTAGTGGACGACTGGGACTGAGAGGATGTGGGCAGTACACTCCCATTCTTCTTCATCCCAAGGGGACGTAACTCTAGATCTGAAGCCTCTGCTGCCATGGCTGCATCCAGTTCCTTCAGGGCCGTCAGTGCCCTGGTGTTGAAGGAATCCATGGAATTCACAGAAAACAAGGACTTGGGCAAAGTTCGCTGAATTTCCACTTCACTATCAGACTCGCTGGTGAAGATGATTTCTGGGGGTTCATTGAGACCATTAGGAAGGCTGGTTGAGTGGACATGTCCATTCAGAATGGGGCTCTCATGACAACTCAAAGGTGAATGCTCAAACTGAGGAATCGGGATAACTGTCACATATTTAGTGGCTGAATGGAT